ATTCCATCATGAAAGAGAATCAATAAAACAAGAACGTCATGAAGCCCAGGGTAGTAGGATAACTGGGCTTAGAAACTGGAAATGTTCGCGAACTGCAACTAGATACGAGTTGCAGTCACCCTAGATCTCAAAAAGTAATCAAGAAATAATATTAAAACTTTCCCACATTTTCATTGAATTTTACTTAATCTCGAAAACCTACTTTCCCAGAATATGGAAACTAGATAGAACGTAAAAGGTTTAGCGCAAAATAAAGATATTTAAACATTAAAGAGGAGAGTAAGCAGCTAATAAAATAAGAAGCAGATAAATTCTACAGTATTATAAACAGCTTTTAAATAATATTGGTCCTCTCTCGACTCCTAACCACCTTTTATATGACTTGGTTGATGTATGCCATTCATTTCTGACAATAACAGCAGCCTGACAGACAGATGCTAAGACCTGATCCCTTCGAGATAGAGTACCGATTAATGCTTCGTTAATGTCGACGGTCCAGTGAAATATACTAAAAACAAACTCATATCAAATTCTGTTTTACCTCGTTTTCGCAACTTAGTCGTACTGTGATAGACCTAGGAGAGCACAGTTTGTCCGGAGTCATATGCCATAGTAGTCCTGATAATTTCCAATATCGAACCGTGGTGTATTACCAGTCATACTTTCCAGCATCGAGCTGTAGACTTCATACATTCCGACGCTGGAAGTTATTACGAGTACTATGGCAACAAACTCTGAACAAGATATGTTAACCTAGATCTCTCTGACTATGCGACCATTTTAATACAACGAAAGAGGCAACACCATCTTGATGGAATCAAGGTACGAGGCCTTAAAATCTAACTCTTCATACAAAACAAGGGTCACGTGACACCAGGATTACTAAAAAAAAGTATAGCGGAAAAGAAGCATGAGCGATGCTTAAGGCAGGTAAGTTAGAAAATATTACATTTGAACTAAAGAGAATATACAGATGAGAACAAAGTCATATGTGACCAACCGATGGATGCATATTATGCTTGGCCATATCTTCTGGACCAAGGGGAGGGTCAACGAGCCTGGCATAATCGGTGTGAAGACCCCAGTCACTGAAACGCTTCTTAGAAGAGGACCAATGAAGATCATCCAGAAGATCAGAGCGCAGCAGGACATCCGCCCAGGTGCTGCAATGAAGCACAAGAAGCAAAAAGAAAGATGAACAGGAAATAGGGAACGGTACTTATATGAGAAAAAAGAATTAATTATCGCTCTATTTGCAAATAAAATGTGGCTCTTTTATCTACAAATCCAAATATATACTCAGATCAGATAATTAGAAACTAAGCCGACATAATAGATGACCCTAATAGAGGGCGAACAGCACTTT